TTTTAATATTACCGATATGTCATCGAAAAGAAATCGTGTTGTATTATCATTAAAAGACAAATTAAATTATTTGTTTCGATTATCCGAATTTTTCCGTATCCGGAGAACCTTCATCCCCAATTAGTCCGGATAATCGAGGTTCTACTGTATATTCATACAATTGAAGAATATTTTGTAGCAGGTATGTACCGGTACATCCACCACACATTTTATTTTACGGAGTGAATTTTATTATTTTATTTTTAATTGTAGCCCTTATATCGTGGCTAGCGATTCGGAATGTAATTGTGATATTAAAAATGCATTTAGAGAAGTCTACGGTTTTTACTGGCTTATCGAATAAACGATACGAATGGACCCTAGACCATCACTGATGCGCAATTGACTGATTGCCCCTGGATGTCGGCTTCTTACAGAAACACAGCTTCCCTATCATCACATGTCACGGCATGCCACTGCTTTCGAGGTAGACATTTAGTTCCCCAAATAACAGCTAGATAAAAGCACATAAACCACAAATAAACAGACGTCCCGTCTTACCCCATGACTCCATCTTGCACTACTTCCCCTACAGTATTCTAACAGCGCAAATCTACAGTATTTTCCCTTATATATACGCCGATAGCTAACATATATGTAAATGATAGACTGACTACCTTTATGTCTTGATTGAGTCACAATTACTTCTGAGGGCACCAGTGAACGGATTTAACAGTATTTAATCTATGGCGTGATTAATGCTGTGTTTCGACTACCTTTATTCCAGGATAACCTCCAGATACTTATTATAAAAAGAATTTACTATGCAGATAACTCTTGATGGACGATAATCTCCATTATTCACATAGGAAATTTATTAGCAAAGAAAAAAATAAGCTATTTTTAACATATGAATTAAAGATATGTTTGAAGTTTCTTTAGAATATTAAAATTAACGACAATTATTGATAAATTATAACCTGAATTTTGGATTTAGTTATTTATACATGTATATTTAAGGTTAGTCTACATTACACTATATATGTATTTTTAAAATTCTTTTTGTTTTAAATTCAAATCTTCATAGCTAACAGATATTAGAGATTGTCAGTTAAGAGAAATATCCGAAAAGTTAACAGATTATGAAAATATATTGAAAGAAATGAAAAAGAAACGATGGGAAGAAGATCAAGTAAAATGAATTTGTTTGATATTTACAATAGTGCTTTTTTATTAAACAAAATTATTTCGATTTAATTTACCAAATTCTTGCAATAGTGGGAATATTATCTTCAATCTGGAGGAAAAACAAATCCTCTTATTCCGCAAGAAGTGAATGATTATATATCTATTTGGAGAGATTTGACAGAAAATGAAAGCACCAAAGATATTATGCGAGAATGTCATAGTTGTTTACAGGTTTATCTTTGTTAATATACTTATTTATAAGTATAATTTTGTTAATATACGTATTTATAAATACAGTTTTGCTAATACATAATTACTGTAAATTTTATAATTTTGTGTTATAGTTAATTAATAAATTAGAAACAGGTCTAGAAGATGCTCCCGAAAAAAATTCTAATTGGATAATAGTAAGTTTGTTTAGAAAAATAATATAGCCTAAATGAGAAAACATTCTATGTGGTAATTTTCAATTCTATTAAAATTCCATTAATTTATATTTAAATAAATTTATCAAATTTTCAGTCACACAAGAATCTTCAAGATTTATTACACAAGAAATTGGATAAAGCAACTTATATATTTCTTCAAGTAAGTTTCTTTAATTCAATTTGATTTTAACGTATTTAAACAAAAATGTTATAATACTATAGTTGTAAACTTCTTGCTTCTAGAGAATTAAATAATTATCTCAAACTACCATTTGGTGGAGATGTATGAGGCTTATCGAACTGTAAGTTTCGTATACGAGATCACATCGAGATCACATTTATAAAATTAATTTTATATGCATTTCGGTCTTCAGACTATTAAATAAATACAAATACCTATAACAGTTGCAAAAGCTTATATTTAACATTTAGCTTTAATTTAATTAATACATAAAAATTAAAATACAAAACAAATACAAAAATAAATTCCGTGTAATGTTTAGTAACTAAGTTAAATATTGTAGGTTTGTTTTTTCTTCTTCTCAATCTTAATCTTTGACTATATGTTTCGTATCTGGTCCCCAGGCTTGTCTTTCACATAGCTCTTCTCAGAAAAAGATTGGAGACTCACTGTGCTAGCGTAATATACGTATTTGTTGTTGTTAAGTTCCATCGAGTCGTCGTCGACTCCTGGTGACTTCATGGACAAGTCTTCTCCATCTTGATCTTTCCCTTGTTGTTTCTCGTAGCTCCTCCAGCTTCATTTCTGTGACTTTTTCTATTTCTTCTATCCATCTTATCCGTTGCCTTCCCCTCTTCCTTCTACCTTCTACTTTTCCCAGCATAATAGTCTTCTCTAGGGAAACTTCTTTACGCATCACATGTCCAAAGTAGGTCAATTTTTGTTTTAAGATTCTTGACTCTAAGGAGAAGCTTGGCTTAATTTTTTCTAAAATTGAGATATTTGTTTTCTTTTCTGTCCATGGAACTCTAAGTAATCTTCTCCATACCCATAATTCGAATGCATCTATCATTTTTCTTTCCTTTTTCCTTAGAGTCCAGCTTTCACAGCCATATAATGTTACAGGGAAAACCATTGCTTCTACAATTCTTTTCTTAGTATGAATGGAAATGTCTTTATCTTTCATTATCTTGGTGAGATTTGCCATGGCTGTTCTGCCAAGATTAATTCTCCTCCTGATTTCTCCTTCACAA